GAATGGAGACTATTTCATTTAATAATGTTTTGTTTTGATATATAAGTTGTTTGGGTTTTTTCATCTAAAAAAAAAGCAACATTAATTTCTTGATGACCTAATATAATGCTATTGTATCATAGCAAAAAACACTACAATATACAAAGCATCAGTTCATTTTTTCACTCCTACTAACTGTATTTCATTTTTGATGCATACTATTTCATGGCTGTGGTTATTAAAACTTGTAAAATCTACAAAAGAAATCTTCATATACAACAGTTCAAACTTGTAGTTGTACTTTTATACATAAACATAAAGTTTGGACTTCTGTCATATATATACCAAAAGAAAAAAATCCCTATCATACCAATGACTAGTACATTAAGTCTGAAGAAGCTGTCATAAATAAAAGCTGTTGAGCCTCAGAAGACTAGTGCAAATTGTGGAAATGGCAACACGACTTAGAGAAGAACTTAATATTTTGGAAAGGTAACAGTAAATAAAAATGGATTTCAGGAAAATATAAAGGGTATATAATGGGGCAATAAGTTTTGAGAATAGTACATTTAAATTTAGGGAGTATATTCTCTTATCCTATTCCATGTCGGTCTTTTTTGGAAATGAACTAAAAAAGTTCAGGTTCTTTTATTTTATTCTTTGATAGCCTATACTTGTATATTAATGAAACATAATTTCTTTTATGATCTGTTATTATATTTATGCTCAAAATATCTTGTACATATGTTGCGAACTATGGTGGTTGTCTATCTCCCATTTGAAAAGTTGTGCATGCAGGCAAAGCTCAACATTCACTATTGAAATGATGGGAGAACAGGCATGAATAATGTTTATGCCAAATTGTATTTCACAAGCAGGATGTTCTGCACTAAACTGTTAGGAATTAATCACACTATCATTCACATTTCAAAATGTGACTTAAAGAATAAAAGTATAGATTTACCATATGTTATTGTTGAGCAGCTCTTAGCATGACTGAAGTGGTCAACAATTACTTTTTGCAGTGGTCAGTATAAGTAGCTCAGAGCTTTGGCTTTGAATGAAACCAAGAGTACAACACAATTAACCTTTTGAAGGTCCATGAAGAAAATTGAATTGACAGATTAACTTAAATTTTTCCCATCACTGGGGACAGGTACTTTTGCTTGTACTCAATAAATAAATGTTACATATATGGATTTGTTGTGATATATATTATTTCAGTATAATTCCAATAAAGAATAGGAATGTTTTTCTCCAGTGTTTATGATACATAATTCAGAATAAATCTGATAGAGATCAGCACAAACAGCATTTCCAGTACCATCTAGCAAGCACTCATTGTAATAAATTTGGGCAAAAAATCAAAAATATAGTTAGAAATAGAATTGACTTGGGGAAATATTTTTTTGAAACATGGAGTAGCCCAAATCATCTTGAGCAAATCACTATTAGGGATTAAAATAACAGGTTTCACCCATTAACTAGTTAAGAAGGGGAGCTGGAACAAAGAAGGAAAACAGTTGGGACAGGAAAGGATGATGGTGCCAAGTCTAAAGAGGTCATTGTTTTAGGCAATTCCTTGGGAAGGCCTTTGGATAGAATAGGCTGTTGGATAAATTAGGAGAAAATAATAAGATTTTGTTATCCATGGGCAAGGTTGAAAGTCATAATTAATAGGTCAACTGATATAGTAAAGGGTACTAACAGTGATGCAGTGTTTGTTTTGCAC